GGCACCTTCTCGGGTGGCCTCGTAGAGCGCCCCATGTGGCTTCTTGGAGGTCTATTGGGCCCTCTTGGGGCCACTGGGCGTTTATATTGGGCGCTCTCGGGCCGCCTTGGAGACTTATCGGGCCCTCTTGGGCAGCGCGCGTGCACGACGGTGTGCTCATGTCTAGACCACCTCGCCCAATCTACACGAAGCGCTGCTTTGCTGGTCTACTCACCTCAGCTTAACCCTGTGCTGCGCGCGCAACTCAGGCTCGAACTACTCTACTCTGACCTACATGCTACACCTGTTATTTACGCAACTCCATGCTAGATAACGCTTCCCCGAGGCACTCCACCACATACTTTAGTGCACCCTATGCCACCCTACTTTCAACTCTGCAATGCCCACCACGGCGCCACGAGGCACGAAGTGGAGTTACCCCCATGCTTCTGATGCCCCCTGCCCTGAACTCCAAGATGCTGAAGATGGCCTCCAAGACGGCCCAAGAGCCCCCCAAGACGTCCTCCAAGAAGGCCCGAAAGGATCAACATGGCCTCCAGGCTGCCAGGATGACCTTCAAGATGCCCACGTGTTCCCCGAAGGCTTTTCAAACCGATTCGGGGACCACGTGGTCCGATAGCTTGGCAGGTCTGGCCTCAACGTTCGGCCACATAGGCGCTTCCACAATTGCAGGGGGCGGCGATGATTCGCCGTAGGCGTCTTCGATACAATCCTACATGACGCTCCCCTCCCATTCCCCTTGCACGCTCCTCTTTTCAGCCGCTGCCTCTTCCCTCCCCTTCCCTCCCTCCACGTCCTCGTCAGCCTGCCTCTTCAATGACTCGTACATGTCTTTCACCTCGCGGACGCCCTCCTCGGCGGCCAGACATTGGCATGGCGAAGCGGGGGCGCCGAGGACGACGGCGACGACGACGACTACGGCGAGAATGGTGCTGATAATGTTGCTAATCGATAGCGGGATCGATAGTGAGATCGATAGTGAGATTATCAGATTGACAGTGAGATCGGCAATGGGATCGATAGTGCGATTGGTTGCGGGACCCCGTGGCTCATAGCAATATGACCGATGATTGAAGTGCGAGGGCCGATGCACTGTGAATGAGCATCGGAGGCTGAGGGTCGAGACTCGGGGGTCGAGGATCCGAGGCCAAAGTGCGGGAATCGAGCCGACGACAGAGGACTGAAGTTCTCAATCGACCGCCGAGGGCCCGTATTTGACGTTTGCGGGCCACGGCACCAGCTCCTCACCATCCTCATCCACATCATCACCCTCATTCACTTCCTGCTCCCCTCTGCCCCCCCCCCCGCATGCCCACATTTCTGACGAGACCTAGCCACGATTGCTCAAACGGGTGAGGGGTGTGGACGGTGAGCGACACGCAGAGGGCAATGCGAGCGATCACACTATCGATATCATCGACCATGCAAGTGGTAGAATCACCGATTTCATTATCGATCTCATTCCTAATATCACTATCGATCTTACTATCGGTTTGAGTGTGTTGATCGCCGAGTGCACGTTCAATCGCGCGGCGCAGTGCGCACAGCACTTCCCAGGGTAGCGAACGCTTACGCAACGCACTCGACAATGCAACGCAACGCAACGCACTACAATGAACGCAGCACCACATCATTTACTGAGACCTGAGGAGAGGGAGGGCATTTGCGCTAATGCACGCGGCAGTGCAAGCAAAAAAGGGTCGGTCCTTCTTGCGCTTGTTCCACTGCTCTTGCCACACGGTCATCTGGTGCCCCATCGTAGTGTCTTTATCTGCCCTGAATTGCTTTGAAGCTGGAACGTTCAGAGCACAACATAAAAGCTTGAGGCACCGTTGTTTGTAATTTGAGCCCTGGGTCGTCCGAAGGTTTGCCAATGCTTCGCTATGCTCTTTTGCTTTGTTTCTGTCTGTGTAACGATTGATCATGGTCCCTCGAACCTGCCTCATGTGAAACGAACTCTTGGATCCAAGCTCACCGAGATCTTCTGCTGTCACCCCGACACCTTTCAAATTCAGGATAATATACTCTACCTGTTTGATCGTTAGTTTGTCGTACTTGCGGTGGCGCGCTCGAAGCTCGATCTCTGCCTCATATATGTAATCATCAGACTCGTCGTCTGAATCTGAGCCCTTTCTTTTTTTAATATCATCACTTTTACCATAATACGCCTTCATGCCAGAAGTCAACAAGCTCTGAATCGGATCTGGGCCACTGCTCGGTTTGCTACGCCTTTTGCCCATCGTTTGTCCTGTGTTCGGTATGCGGACAGCCCCGTGCGCGGCGAAGACGTGCAGGCTTAGCTGCTGAGCCAAACAAGCAATGCGGATCATGATGCATCCCTGCACTGACGCGCATCGCAATGCACTTCAGGCAACGCAGGACATACACTGATTGCGTGGACAATGCAAGCCTATGCAACACATACCACATCACATGAATGCACCGCCATGCAATGCCAGTCTCACAATGCAGTGCACAATGCAAGTACATGCAACAGGCGCAGATCGTGTATGAATGTTCGCCGACGCTGGGCCCAACCGTACAGGCACAACCGCGCGCTGCACATATGCGCACCCCCTCTTGCTGTGAACGGAATGACGAGGGCAAGGCGTATCAATTCACCAAGATGTGGCAGGGCAGGGGACGCGGGGGCAAGATAGTAATTGTACACACACGGCAGAGCAACCTGGTCTGTCGAGGGCAAGGTTGAGGATGGCACGGCGAGGGGGCAAGATGCGGGAAAGCGGATGCATACTTGCACACCAGGCGGAGGGGTGAAGGGAGCGGCGGAGTCGAGGTCGCGGGGGGGGGGGGGGCTGAACGGGGGGGGTGAGGGGGCGAGAAGCATGAGGGCGAGGGCATACGTATAAAGAGACGGGCTGGCGACGGCGGCGGCGACGATGACGATGGTCGCGGGGAACAGTAAGGGACAGATGGGGACCGTAGGGGGCCGCATGGGACCGCAGACGACCAAAGCGACAATAGGGCACCGTAGGGGACCGCAGGGGGCCGCAGGGGACCGCAAGGAACCGTCGGGGTCCGTAGGGGCCCGCAGTGGACCGCAGGGGACAGCGGGAGGCCGTAGGGGACCGACGGGGCCGCCTAAGACAGAGGGGACCGTAGGGGTCCGCGAGGGGCAGCAGGGAGCAACTGGGGACCGTATGGGGACGTAGAGGGCATCAGAAAACAGACTGGACAGTAGGGGCCCGTAAGTAACCGTTCTCTGGGAAGCCATGAGGAAACCTGGGGAATCACAGAGGGTCCCTGTGGATCCTGGGGGGTGGCCACGCGAAACCCAGGGGGTTCATGAGGGGCTTTGGGGGTTCCAGAGGGGCCCGCGCCCAAAATAACCCAGCATAACCAAACCCCAACAATATATTCACTGACATGCATGGGAGTGCGCTGCAGCCACACCGAATTCTCAATAAAACACGCATGCGCGACTTAGTACACCACGCGAACGCACTACACCAAAACATTATAACAACGTATTACACGAATACACTAACACCTGATACTACGCGAACACTCTGCGCTAATGCACTACACACATACACTACAATAATACACTTCACTCATGCGCTCTACGAAGACACTGCACGACAACGCTACGCGAATGCGCGACACGGACGTGCTACGCCAATTCATGCCACGACATCAACAATTATGATTCGTGTTGTTGCATGGTTCCAGGGGGGCCTTCAGAGAGCCCAAGAAGTCATTTTTCGAGCCGCGAAGCCTTTCAAATGTGAGCCTCCGAGAAGCCATAACCCATCGCAACCATAAAGGCACTCAATGTTTGTTGCCTTCCCGCCGTTTCGCCCCCGCCAGCTTGCCAATGCCTCAAGGAGGCCTGGGGGTGGCCAAAGAGAGCCCCGCGAGAGGCCCCAGATTGCCCCAAGACGGCGCCAGCGTCGTGGACTAGGCAGCGCGTCGTAAAGTGTCGCGTACTAAACATCGCGTGCTCAGTGTCGCGCATTAATTCAGTAAGTGTCGCGTAGCGGTGTACCATTAAAAAAAAAAAACATAAAAAAAAAAACAAAAAAAAAAACAAACAAAAAAAAAAAAAAATAACAAAAATAAATTAAAAAATAAAAGAAAAAAATTAAAAAATTAAAAAATAAAAAAAAAAAAATAGAAAAAAAAAAACAAAAAAAGAAAAAAAAAACAAAAAAAAAAAACAAAAAATAAAAAAAAAAAAATACAAAAGAAAAAAATTAAAAAAAAAAAAAAAAAAAAAAAAAAAAAACATTAAAAAAAAAAAAAAGGCTCCGTAATAAAACGCGGCCGGCGCGTCGTGTAGTAGCGCAGGTTGATTACGCAATAGGTTCGTGTAGTGCATTGGCGCCGTGCAGTTGTATTGTGTACTATATTAGCGTGTTAGCGTTGTGCATTCGCATCGTGTTGTAATGTAGTGTATTCGTTTGGCGCGTACTGTAGTGGCAGATTTAGCGTCGTTTCTGTCGTATTACATTTAGTGCAGCTTATGTCGTGCCTTCAACTTATTATAAGCTCGTGTGCGATCTGTAATGCAAAGACACTCCAAGACACTCCAAGCTCTCCCCAACCCCAAGACACCTCAAGATACCCAAAACACTCCAAGACACCCCCAAGGCACCCCAAGACAACCCCTCCCCAAGACACCCCAAGACATCCACCCAAGACATGCAAGACACCCCAAGACACCCCAGGAGGAGGAGGGAGTCGGGGGGAAGCGAGGGAGAGGAGGGAGAGACTTGTCTCTCTCCTGAGCCGCAATCCGCCAACTGGCGCGTCCGCTCTACTGTGGTGGCTATTGGCGCGCTCTCAGATCCACCAGTGCGTCGCTATGCCGTTGTAGTCAAAGCCGACGTGCACGCTGCCGCCTCCAAGGGGGATGATGATGCTAACGTCACGTGGCCGCTGCATCCAGGTCAGCTCCGCAAGCGTCCTCTGCTGCTCGTACAACCACTCGCTGTACTTAACCTGCGCCATTGTTGAAGCATGCGCTGGGAGCTGATCTACTGGCACATCAGGTAGGATACGGCTGTCATGAGCTGGGAGCTGATCTGCTGGCACATCAGCGCCTGTAGCGGCTGCGAGACGGGTGCTGAGACGGCTGTTACGGCTGCCCCGACTGCTCAGGCTCGCGCTGGACGGCGCTGGAGACGGCGTCCTGCAGCGCTCGTCCATCACAGGCGTGGGAGGGAGCACGGTCACGGTGCCCTGGATGATCTGCTCGAATGCGGACTGCGGCTGCCTGGGCATTGCAGGCGAGCCCTCAGAACTTCTGTTGGCCTGAGCGAAACTGGCTACGGAACAACATTAAAACCCCATGACGCCCATTGCCCCAAGACACCCCCAGGAGCCCATAGCCCCAAGGCACCCAGGGCACCCGAGACAGTCCAGGACGCCCATGGCCCCAAGACACCCCGCCCCCCAGAGACGCCTACGGCCCCCATGAACCCAAGACGCCTGAGGCCACAATACACCCGAAACATTCATCATGTATGAGTTGGTGTCGTTGTCAATCCGCTGGTGCCCCCAGGGCTAGGCCGTCCCCCCCCTGTGCTTCGGGGGAAGACGGCTTGGCCCACCCCAGGAGCACCGCCCTTTGGGCTGCCGTCTCCTCCCGCGAGGCGGGCGAAGACGACCGCGCCCACCCAAAGGGCACGACGGGCGCGTGAGGAAAGCGTGGGCACCCCCAGACACCCCAAGACACCCCCTCCCCAAGACACCCTCCCCACAACATGCAGAATCCGATTGAATATGTAGACATCCTGGAATCCTGAAGAAGTTGAAGGGAAAACTAAGAACACCTGGGTCAGTCCCTAAAAACCCAACTCTGATACATCCTGAGGAAGGCAGATGAATCCTGAAGAGCCCTGGCGTACAAGCAGGCACCCAAGTAAACGTCCCATATGCACCCCGAGAAACCACCACGCTTCGAAGACGCCTCTGGCCCACAAACCAGGCGCGCTTTAGGATGAGCCGCGGGCCCACAAACCCAAAGAGCGCCCAAAGGAGACCAACAAGCAACAAGCAATGTAGAGTGAAGAAACAGAAAAACAAGACAATGGGCAGATGAAAAAAAAAAAAAAACCGAGACAAAAAAAACGAGTAAAAGAAAGAAAAAGAAAAAAGAAATTACGAAGAAACTTGAGGACACAAAAAAAAAAAACGAACAAAATGAGAATGGTACTAAGGAGGAAAGACAAAAAAAGAAAAAAACTAAGTAAAACGGCAATTATGAGGATTTTCAATTCTGTATACGACTCACTTCTCAAAATACGGTCGGACCTCCTCCTCCTCGTCTGCCCCGTCAACCTCCTCGCCCACCCCCTCCGCTCACGAAGTAGACGCGCCGCGCGAAATACTTGGGCCACATGCTGTCCACGCGCGCCATTCTGCAAGGCCTCACAAGAACATGGCCAGGTCAGACTGACGTTCGGGAAACCGCCCGTCGACTTCTTCACGGACTGCAGCAAGCCGGGGGAAGTCCTCCAGGACCTGGCGGGCCCAAGGCGTATAAGTAACGCAGACGTTAAGCCCGTCCACCCGTAGCACCCCATATATTGGTCAAACTTCGGCCCCCCCAAACACAACTGCCAGGGCGCAGCCGAAATCCCCTGGATAGAGGGCCTTGTGTCGGTGCCATCGCGATCTCCTAATCCGCGGGGCTATCTCACTGCGTTCGATCCCCAAGGAAGCGAGAACCTGCTTCAGACTGTTGCACCTGATGACCCCGCCCCCCCTTCTCCCAGCTCGTCCTACCGCGTGCCATCTTCCTCGGGCGTGTGCCAATAACCCTGTCCAGAGTGTTCGTAAATCGCGGCGACAGTGCAAACGCCGCCAGTCACCCGGGCCCTGCCCCCAACGCAAAAGCAATGAACACAGCGCGCTCAATCCTATCCCTAGTGCCCAGGCCCCAGGAGATGCCACGCAGCCGCCGCGCAACTCTCATTGCGTCGCAGCTGCGCCTCTTCTCTCCAGCCATCCCTTGGTCTCCTGGCAGGTGCGGCCCCAGGGCCCCCAATTTCCCTCGTAGGGATGTCCTTTCAGTCCTTTCTGTCTGCGCAGTCTTCGCGTCGGCGCGCTGCTGCCGAACCCGCGCAAACACAATGGGCAGGCGGCTAGTCTTGCCGGGGCCAGGGGCCCACCCTCCCACCGCAATCTGCCCCTCCAGCCTAGCCGTCGCTCCGTTCAGCTTTGTCGCGACTTCGTTCGTCGTCGCACCTTGCCGCATCGTGTGGAGCTTACTCGAGTCGCCCATAAGCGCGTTGATGGCTAGGTCGTGGAAGCCCCCCGCGATCGGGTGGGCGGTGTCGCGGAGTCTGGTCGCACGCGTGTCGTCAGCGCATGTGACCGTCATTCGGCGCACTCCACGCTCATGCTCGTATGTTTAATAACTTGCGCGGCAAAGCGTCCGCCCGCCACGGTTGAGGTCGATTAAGCAGAGACTTGAAACAACGGGCGCCTAGTGCTTGCAAACGCATTTGCGCCGCCGTAGCTGCCGTCCAACAGACTCACGCCTGCTCGCTTAACTCCCAACTGGGTAGCCGACTGCTGACAAATCAAGGCAATTTCTTTACACCTGTGGGCGAGGCCCCCGCTGGCCCAACTCGGGCGGGCAGGCCCCTGCCCTCGACAGTGGATTTTTTTGTGCCGCCCGATTCCCATCGAGCAGTGCGCGCGCAGCACCCTTTTGCTTGCAATGCCTTGCTTGCCATTGTGCGTCGAGCGATGCCGGCCCATTGGGGCCACATGTGTAGTCGGACATTTTAATGATACCTGGCCGAGCTGCTCCAGGAAGAGAGAAGGCGGCCCGTCGGTAGCAATTGGTGCCGGGCCAAGTCCTGCCCCTGTGAACCAGCCCACGTGGTGCGGCGTCCAATCGCAAGCTTGCAGTACTCTGCACCCCCCCTCCTGTGCCCAGCGCCTCGCCCGAGCTCTCGCACGGCCCTAACTTGTGCATGCTTCGTGATCGTGCTATTGTTGTTTCTCTCTGTCTCTCTGTCTGTCTCTGTCTCTCTCTCTCTCTCTCTCTCTCTCTCTCTCTCTCTCTCTCTCTCTCTCTCTCTCTCTCTCTCTTTATTTATTTATTTATTTCTCTCTCTCTCTCTGTCTCTCTCTGTCTCTCTCTTTCTCTCTCTCTCTCTCTCTCTCTATCTCTCTCTCTTCTCTCTCTCTCTCTTTCTCTCATTTTTTTTTTTTCTCTCTCTCTCTCTCTCTCTCTCTCTCTCTCTCTCTCTCTCTCTCTCTCTCTCTCTCTCTCCCTCTCTCTCTTTCCCCCTTCCTCATCGTCCTCTCTGCTCTGCTTCCTGGATCTTCTGAAGTTCCCATCCTCTGCTCAGGGCCCCAGGGCGCTCGTGGTTGACTCCAGGGTCGAGGGCCGTCCAAATGAGCTCCACAAGAACTCCCCACTTCGGATCGGCTCTGCGCTTCTTAGATTTCCTGCACGATCTACGCATATCCTGCTTATCTTGCGCAGCCGCCCTTCTCGTCTCATGGTCTACTGGTAGCGGGGCACGCTCGGCAATGTGTTCCTCGTGGTCCGACAAGTACGCGCCGAAGTCCAACGGTTCGGCAACCGTCCCTCCCTCGTGGGGGTGCTTCTGTAATTCTCCTTCCCACTCGGCACGGTCCCACCAAACCTTAGGAGAGAAATGATACCGATTTTTTGCCCCCTCCATTTTCTCTGATTTTCGCTTCTCGGCCGGTGCATTTCACTGAGGTTGCTAGCTTCATGTGCTTTGCCAAGTGTCTTCCACAATGCGGGCCCTTCTCTCTTCCTCCCCAGCCTCTCTCACTGTTTTAATCACCTCCGACACTGCCACCAAGTGTTCGCAGATTTCGTCCAACTCTGGTTGGGTCTCACAATCAACATTTGTTTCCAGCATGCCCGTCGTTTGGCCAACAAACTCGGACCCATGCTTCTTCAGCAAATGCACTCCTTCGTCCTCCTCTCTCATGCGCTTGGGAAAGAACCTCCTCCATTGGCTTCCGTGGTGCAGCAGACCATTTCTTTTAACCTTCATCAGGGGTGGCGTGATCCATAACTCGCCCCCATGCGCCCTCCCCCCCTTATTGCAGCTTGGCGTCGAACGCTTCGAACAGCTCGGCTCTTTTCCGCCCCGTCGTCAAGCACTCCATGAGCTAATCCCTGTCGGCGCTTCCTGCATTCCTATCTTGGCGGGGAGTCGGGAGACGTTGTTTCGGGCCAGCGTTAAAATCTAAGCCCACTGGGAAAGTGGTCCCGGTGGCCTTTGCTTCGGCTATTATCTGTAGCCTTTTTTGCTGACCCTCGTAAGGTGGCGCAGGTCTGGGCCAAGGGAAGCGCAGCCACAGGGGCGGCCACATGGTCAATGTTCGAACTCTCCCCCTGGTGCCCACAGTATGTCGGTTCGCAGTCATGGTACGTCGTCGCAGCTGCAAGCTCGCCGTGTGCACAAACGCGTCGGAACGCCTTGCCGTTTTCATTCTCGACATCTTTCGCCACTGGCCCACTACTGTGGGACCTGTTCCTGTCCATGCCCCTGTCCGAACTACGATGTAGTCCGAGCTGGTTTTTGACATCTCCAGCTGCATCAATTTCAGACCTGCATGGGACCCTATCTGCACATCCTTCCACCCACTCTAGGATACGCTCCGGTACATGTCCGTAGTTCTTGTGATGGGTAGGCGGTAGTTAGGTCGCGAAAGTCGCCTGGTCGAGTTCTCTCGTGGTGAGTCGGGTTCACGTTGCCTTCCCTTGGTCGCAAGCTGGTAGGGTGTCTGTGGGCACCTGTAGATACGATAACATCCCAGCTTCGCAGTTCCGAGCTTATTTCCTCCAGCCGTTCTTGCGAATTTGCGGACAGAGGGTTGTATAATGCAATCCGCATCAAAACATACACGAATAATTTGCTCATCATCTGCTCATGCCCTCCTTACTCCTTCCCTGGCCATCGTGGTGGGCGGGGGCCAGTCATGTGAGGAGGAGGAGGAGGAGGAGGAGGAGGAGGAGGAGGGGGAAGGAGACGAAGGAGGAGGAGGAGGAGGTTTTACGACATGTCCTACGGTCAGCGGGGTTCGTTTAGCGTGCGTGGTCAAGGAGTGGGACCACACTCAAAACCAAATCCGCCGACCCCTTGGGGATCATCGGCGTGTGAGATGCTTCCCCCTCCCCAAACCCCTCCCCCGGGAGCCCGGTCCGGTCGATTTGGAGGGGGGGGGGGGGTCCGGGACGAGCGCTTCACGGGGCTTGGTGGGGGGGGGGGGGTCCGGGACGAGCGGTTCACGGGGCTTTTCCTGGCCCAAGGGTCCGGGACGAGCGCTCCACGGGGCTTTTCCTGGCCCAAGAGGGCTTCAAGACGGGCCACGAAGCCCCCAAGAGGCCTCCAAGACGGCCCACGAAGGCTCCGAGAAGCCAAACGACCGCTCCAAGACGCCCACGATGGCCCCAAGACGGCCCAAGAGGTCTCCAAGACGGCCCCTGAGGTCCCAAATGAGCCTCCCAAGAGGGCCCAAAGAGTCAAACATTGCTGATTTTCCATAATGTTTTTCGGTGTTTTTTGCTTTTCCGCCTTTCCGGCTTCCCGACGCTCCAAGACGGGCAAAGAGGCCCCAAAGATAGCCCCAAGATGGCCCAAGAGGCCCCCAAGACGGCCTCCAGACGGCCCAAGACGGCCCCAAGACGGCCCAAGAGGTCCCCAAGACGGCCCAAGAGGGCCGATTTGGAGGGGGGGAGGGGGCCGGGACGAGCGCACCACGGCCGGGACGAGCGGTTCACGGAGCTTTTCCGGGCCCAAGAGGGCCTCAAGATGGGCCAAGAAGCCCCCAAGAGGCCTCCAAGACGGCCCACGAAGGCCCCGAGACGCCAAACGACCGTTCCAAGACGCCCAAGATGGCCCCAAGACGGGCCAAGAGGTCTCCAAGACGGCCCCCGAGGTCCCAAACAAGCCTCCCAAGAGAGCCCCAAGAGTCTAAATTGTTGATTTTCCATAGTGTTTTTCTATGTTTTTTGCTTTTCCGCCTTTTCGGCTTCCCGACGGCCAAAGAGGCCCCAAAGACAGCCCCAAGATGGCCCAAGAGGCCCCCAAGACGGCCTCCAGACGGCCCAAGACGGCCCCAACACGGCCCAAGAGGTCCCCAAGACGGCCCAAGAGGGCTCCATGACGGCACCACGAGGGGCCCAAGAGGGCGACCAAACATGTTGAAACTCTAGCTTTCTGCCCCCAGGAGCCCCAGGGGGCCCCAAGAGTGCCCCAAGAGGCCCCCAGAGGCCCTCACGAGGCCGCCCAGACGCCCCAAGGAACCCCCTAGAAGCACCCCAGAGGCTCCGAAACGGCCCCCGAGTGGCTCCAATACTCGCAGTGTCGCTGTCGCTGCGCTCTCCCGCGGGAACTGCCCCGCCCCCCTTGGCAGGTGGCGGCCGAACGACACCAAACAAATTCACTCGCTTTTCACCCCTTCGCAGCTTCATACTACCCCAGATTGGCATAAACATGGGTCGGCGGTGTGGTTTTTTTTGTTTTATTTTTTTGGATTTTTGTGTTACCGGTTGTGGCGATTCACCATTAATAACATTACTACGTTTGTAATGTGATCTTTCTCTTTAGCGTTTCGCTCAGCGTGATCTGATAATCTCGCTTGGGGGGCACGGGCTCCGGCCGGGAGTGGAACACGGATCGGGGCCCCCTGATGCGGCATCGTGCAGGGATGCGCTGCAAAGCATGTGCGAGTATGCGCGCATCCGATGGGATGCCGCACTAACGTGTGCAGGCATGTGCAGCCACTCGCTGCTCGTCAGAGCAGATCGTCACTGCGAGGCACACTGCACCTTCGCACTGGAGGCCGTGGTCGGCCCACCCCGCGAAGCGCGGTTATCTTTGAGCTGCAGTCCGTCGCGAGACTGTACACCCTGCGAAATGCTTAAGAAATCATGGGTTAAGAAATTCATAGTCTCAGAACTTGAATAAAAACCCAACGTTTCCAGTAACATCTTAAGATTTACATTGTAACGTTAAGAATAATCGAGACTCTGGCAGAAAAATTAAGTTTTCTAAAGCATCGCCTAAGGTGTACTGGCCCTGGCTCCGCTCCAGCAGGGAGGGCAGCTCGGCTCCGGGCCCCACCCGAGATCTGATATCAAGAGGGCTCGAGACGGTTTCAAGGCAGTCCAGGATGACCCCGACAGCCAGCCAGAACGGCTCAGGAGGGCGCCAAGGTGTAGCAGAAGGCTGCAACAGAGGCCCAGGACGGCCAAAGAGAACACCAGGAAGGCCCAACAAGTTCCCAGGACATCCCAGAATGGACCCGATGGCCTCCCAAAACGGCCCAGAAGGGTCCAATTAGCGCCCGAGGTAGCCCAGCCCAAGGAGGCCTTTCAAGGAGACACACCGCGACCCAGAAGATCACTCGCCAGGCGGGGGTGGGCGGGAGGGGGATAGGGGGGGCGAAGGGCAGGCGCGCGCTGCAGGAGGGGCGAGGGCCAGGCCGGCTCCAGCGGGGGGGGGGCAGGACGGCTCAGGGCTCCAAGAGGTGACGTCAAGATGGCCCCAGAGGGTTCCAAGACAGCCCAGAATGTCTTCAAGAGCAGCCCAGGACGGCCCAAGAGCGCGACCGCATTCCCCAAAGAAGGTCAACAAGGTTTCGAGGGAGGCCCAGGACGAACCAAGGAAGGAGGCCCAATAGAATAGACCCCCTGGGGTCGCGATGGGCCTCCCTGACGGCCCTCTTGGGAAATCTTGGGCGCTTTGTGGACCATGTTGGCTCATTTGGGGCAGCAACCGGGGCACTCCCGGGCTGCCTTGGCGGCCTTCTTGGAGCTCCCCTGGGCCGTCCTGGGCCTCTCTGGAAGCCCTGGGGCGCTTTCTGTGCCCCAGGACCTGGGTTCTCGTCGACTAGACGTAAGAGTGACCTTTTGCAGTAGTGACCTTTGGTGCGGGCACAGAGCGGTCTCCAGATGGCTGAAAACGAAGCAGCAGCAGCAGCTGCCTGCGCGCCCAGGTCTGGTCCCCCTGCGGCCCCCAACAAGCCGCGCACCAAAAGGTCACTCTTACCCAGGGTCACTCTTGCGTAGAGCCGATCTCGACACCGGTCTTTGAGATCTGGCGTAGCGGTACACTCTGCGAAATGCTGAAGAAATCATGGGTTAAGAAATTCATAGTCTCAGAACTTGAGTAAAAACCCCACCTTTCTGTTAAAATCTTAAGATTTACATTGAAACGTGAAGAATAATCGAGACTCTGGCCGAAAACTTAGGTTTTCTTAAGCATGGCCTAAGGTGTAGGTCTGCAACACCGTGGAAAAATCACGACAGAGCCCCGGACCCCCATGATTCTGCACCGCTGCTGGAGCCCAGCCGACCCGTGAGGGTCCCAGGCCCGAAGCCGGGCGAGAACGCACGCCAGGATCTCGGGGACTGCTGCTCCTCGGGGGCTGCCACTCCAAACCCCCCCGACGTCACAAATGCTTCACAGGGTGGACCCCCCGAGGTCTGGACCCCTTTCCAAGGAGCGGCTCGTCGCCCTGAGCCGTGCTTTGACAGCCCCGAGGCCCAGCACGGATCCCCGAAGCCCAGCAACTCGCCATCGCTCGGACGCTCATTTCCCGTGCATGTTTGGATTTCGCGTGTGCTCCATTGGCCAGACGATCCAGGATGCTCCTCGATGGTCCTCGCCGAGAAGAGGTGCACACGTCGGAGCGATGCCACGGCGAGGGCCCCCGGTAAGGCAACAGCGCAGAATCTGACGCCGTGAGTCTGCATGAGCCGAGGGGAGCTGGGACAGTCGCCCCTGACTTCGTGCCCTCCGGCAGCACGTGGCGGCAGGCGGTCCTTCAGCATCAGCATCACCAGCGAGGACGGCTTGTTCGACAGCTCGAGGTGCTTCGCGATCTGCCTTCGGCGGCGGACTGCGGCGACGCCGCCGGGGCCGGTCGCCGCCGTCGCCCTCCTGCTCCGCCGTCCTGCTCCTGCTTCTTCTCCTCTTCCTCGCGCTGCTGATGCTCCACCTCGCCGCCCTCCTCATCCTCCTCCTCCTCCTGATTATGTGTTTCCTCTTCCTCTCCCTCGTCCCTCTGCTGACAAGGGTCCCGAATGTCGCGGCTGTCACGTCGGTCCTAGGGCGTCCGCTTTCAGTCAACATCTGGGCTCGTGCACCTACTGGGTGTATAATGGGACATGACCCTCTCTCTGCTCCCTCCTGCTCCTGCCTGCCCCTCTTGCACGGGGCAGACGTCGGCTGGCGTGGGCCGTCGTGGGAATCATGCCGTGAGGCTCGTGCTTCTTCTGCTCCTGCTGCTCCTCCTCCTCCTCCTCCTCCTCCTCCCTCTCCTGCCTCATCCTCCTCCTCCTCCTCCTCCTCCTCCTCCTCCTCCTCCTCCCCCTGCGCCTCCCACTGGCCCTCCCCGCTCCTCCTCGTCCTCCTCCACCGCCCCCCTCCCCGTGCCTGCCCCCGCTGTTCCGTCCTCGGGCCTCCGCCTTCCCCTCCCCCTCGGGGGTCGCCCTGCTCCCCCCCTCCGAAAGCTCTCCTCCACCTCCGAGCCGTCCTCGTCGTCCTCGTCGTTCCGACTGCCACATCTTCCGCCTCCTCCCCCCTCCCGTCCTAGTGGAGGAGAAGCGTCTGAGGGCGGCACGTCCACATGCACGTAGAGTGCAAGAGATCCGGGAAAGTATCGCGGATGGGCGCTAGGCATCCCTCCCTGCCGCGCACAAGGCGCGAGGGGCATCGTCGGAAGCGTCGCCCGGGCGGGTCTGGTGCCGAAAGAACCCCGCGTGGACCTCTGACAAAATATGCTTAGGAGTCTACTTCTTAGTATACGGATCCCTTCCCCAGCCTCTCCACATCCCTCCCCCTTCCGTCCCCCCCCCGTTCTTCCTCGGCCCATCCCCCTGCTCCTCCCACTCCGCCTCCTCCCTCCCCCTCCTCCGCGCCCTCCTCCTCCTCCTGCCCCTCCCCCCTCCGCCGCGTGATGCCCCTCTCCCCCCCCCCCCCCGCCGAAGGGGCACGAAGAGGGCCCAGGCGACCCCGCACGGGAGAGGCTCCGAAAGGGGGGGCCCTCCGCCTTGCCCGCCGATCTCACCGTCGTCGGTCGTTGTCGCCGTCGTCGCCGTCGCCGCGGCCACCACAGTCGTCGTCGTCCTCGGCCTCCCTGTACAGTCAACCCGTGTAGTAAGGATGCGCGATGAGGATGCAAGGGCCCTGGAAGGCTATGTCGGCACTCTGCGAGCGGGGCGTTGCCAGCGGAAGCGGCCAAGGATGGGCCGAAAGGGGAAGGACGCAGGGGAACCCGTGGAAAAATCGCTCATCCTTACAGTTGGGGTCGACTGCGCTCCCACTGTTTCTGAACGGCCTCCTACTGGACTCCAACATCTCCAGCTCGCTCCTTCCTGGCGCACGCCTCCTGCTCCCGTCCGTGCTCCCTCTGTGGTGTATGCTGTTGATCGCGCCGCTGCCTTGTCTCATCATTATGATTCCTCCTGCCTGGTACTCCTTCTCAACTTCCTCGATAATTCCTCCCTTCTGTCCACCTCTTCCGTGCTCCACATCTTGCGTTGGCTCACCCTTCAGGTTCTCCTCTCTTTAGATCCTCCCACATTCCAGGTGTGTCACCTCCTCCTCCCTCATCTCCGCCCCTCTTTCCGCCTCGCCCATGTCCACGCCTCGCAATGGAGCAGATGATGTCATCGGGTGGGGATGAGAGGAGGGGAGGGGGAAGAGAGGGGAGATGTGGGCGAGGCCGAGGGGGACGAGGACGAGAACTGAGACGAGGACGGAGGAATCAGGGGGGTAGCAAGATGCGGGCAGATGGGGCGGAGGAACATCGGTGTGGGTTCAGGGGGTGAAAGGAGATCAGAATGAATGATTGATCTCAAGGAGCCTGGAATCTAGAACGCGAAGCCGAGTCGTTTCGCCCCGGACAGATCCAGGGCATTGAGGAAACCGAGAAGCAGCCGAAGGAGCAGCATGAGAACCACCCTCTGTATCCACCTCGAGCCAAACGTGCACCCAATTCCAACGCGTTGCCTCCGACATCCTGGTTTCTGCATGACGCGGGCCCAGAAGCCCTCAAGACTTGAAATAACATGCTGTCGAGTCGTTTGTCCAGGCCCCAAAGATCTTCGTGAATTGCATATCCACGTGCAAAAAAACTACAATCAGGACGCATGGTGTACGGATAGCTGCAGCAGCAACAGGACAACTGCTTTACATAATACAAGGTCAAGGATGGGCCGAAGAGGCAAAGATTTGATAGAAGACCACGTAACTACTGGAGTGTCCGGATGCCCCCCCGCCCAAACCACACGTTAAAACACTTCAAACAACAACGCTCGATTCCCCGCCCGAGCTCGGCTCGGAACCACCACTGGGTACATGCCGGGATGCATCCTGGTCGCCATTACAACCGCGTCCATGCAGGCCGCCAATGAGTGGGTCGGGGTCATGGGGCCGGAAGAGCGTGCCGAATCGGTCGGCGATGGACCGGCGACGCCGAATCCACCCCGGCGTCGCCGATGCATCGCCGATAAAAGCGCGATCCTCCGACCGCATCCGCTCCGAGCCAAATTTGAAAGGCGTGGAATACAGCCATGGCAACGAGAACCCCGAAGACCGCCCAGGAACCTCGCCTTTGTCGCCGTCGCCGCCGTCGTTCGTCGTCACCGCCGACGTCATCGTCGCCGCCGCCGTCGTCGTCGTCGCCGCCGCCGCCGTCCTCGTCGTCGTCGCGCCGTCCGCGCCTCAGGTCCTTGCTGCGGTTGTCGCGCTTCGACAAGACCTCGGCCAGCTTGGCCGCCGCCTGCCGCAGACCAAGGCCAGGCTAGCGGCGATGCTGTTGATCGGTGATGCTTGGAAGCCAAATTGAAGGAACTCGCAAACCACACGTTCCAACATCTCCAATCTGCGAATGGATCGAGCAAACACGACACAGCTGTAGGAAAGCGCGAGCCACGCGTTCCCACACTACCGAAACCTACATCGCCGTTGGCTCTGAGGGGCCGAGGAGGAGGATGAGGATGAGAATAATGATGAGGAGGAGGAGCCGAAGAGCCGAGGAGGATCCTCCTCCTCCGCCTCCTCTTCCTCCTCCTCCTCCTCCTTCTTCTGCTCCTCCGCTCGCCCCTGCCTTCGCCAAAGACTCGGCCGGAGCTTCTCTCTCGATCACTCTTTTCGATGGATCGGGACCCGAGGTGCGCCTGCCTTTTGGAGTCCTCCCAGCTGGGTGACAGCACAAGCGAAGCACAGTCACAACGACATGCAGTAATAGAAAAAGAAACGACGGCATAAAGATACACTTTTGGCGCTCCGCGTGGAGTCTTGGACCTGCGCTGGACCCCCTCCCTGGCGCGCGGAGCGCGCCAGGGGCGGCGCCGGAGACGCCGCTGGAGAGGCCTAGCGCGGATCCAAGAAATCCGCGCGCACCGTCGAAAGTTTGTGTGGTATGCCGCTTTGTCTTACTCGAGGAAAGAGCACAATCACCCTTCGCCGAAGGCCGAAGGTCGAGTGACTGCCACCACCCTCGACCTCAGAGCCCGCAAATGAGACGGCGGGGATGAGAAAGCAACTCACCGCAAAAGCCCGAGGACACCCGCAGGACGCAGCCTACTGACATGCGATGAAATAGGAAGCCCTGGGCCGCCAAGCGAGGGGGGGGAGGACGAAGAGGAGCGAAGCCCCAGGCAAGAAGAACTCACTCAGCAATGGCGGCGGGTCACCGACGCAGGGCTCGGGTGCCCACGGCAGCCCCGAGCAGCTCGAGCAAGGCCGAGGCCGCAGAGCGCAGGGCACTACCCGAATGCACGGATGCGCCTCCCTGGCCTGCCGAGCAGAAGCAACACACCAGCTGGATGTAGGTGTAAACAATAGATATTTGAATCATCATGCGAATTGGCGTAAATCAAGCTTCCGTGGTGCGTCGATAGCACGGGACCTCAAGAATGATTCACGTTGTTCATGAAACTCTGGACCTTCGCGAGCGCCAAAACGATGATCTTTGAGCTCGTGCGCCTCTCGAACCGGAAGCCGTCCAGCGAGCGGCAGAAATCATGGACGCCCTGCTGTGGGCATTGCCAACGAACGCATACCCGTAATTCAACGTATTGCCCGTCTGTTTTGGCAAATTGAGGAAGGTATACCGGCCCGCGAACCCGGCCTGGGCAATGGCATCGAGAACCTCTATCTGGTCAGAAGAAGACAAAAAGCCATAAACACGATTCAACTTGTGGCACTCCGCGCGGATGTCTTGGATCCGCGCTGGACACCCTTCCCCGGCGCGCGGAGCGCGCCAAGGGCGGCGCCGGATGCGCCGCCGTGGGGCCCAACGCAGATCCAAGAAACCCGCCGTCTGCGGAGGGCGAGCGAACAAAAACCAACAAACAAAAGAAAGAGAGAGGGAGAGGGAGAAAGAAGAAGGGGGACGACGGATCGGCCGATCGATCCTCCTCTGCATCCTTCCTCTCCTCGGCCACAGCGTCCGAAGACCTCCAGCCTCGAATCCGAGACGTCCCCGAGCCATCCTTCCCCTCCCCCGCCTCCTCCCCCGCCCCGCCTCCTCCCCCGCCCCGCCTCGCCTCCCCCCCCCCCTCCACGCCCCCTCCTCCCCCCCCCGCTTCCCCGCCCCGCCACCCCCCCCGACGCACCTCGAAGATCTGCCCCTCCCACGCCTCCCTTTTCCTGACGCTCGGCCGACCTCAGCTACAGGCTGTGCCGCTATCCCCCGCCTCCTCCTCCTCGGCCCCCTCCTGTTACCAGCCTGGAACATATCCCTATCCCTATGCTGGGCATCTCCTCATCACGATGCCAATCTTAGGGATTCCCTTATCTTTTAATGGCGAGTCCCTAAGATCGTCATCGCCTTTTGGCGTGTCAATTTTAGGGATAGGGCTAAGTTCGAGGCTGGTATATCCTGGGCCCCCTCCTCGACCCCGCCTGGGCGTCGAGCGAGAACTTCTTCGCCAGGTCCTGCTGATACCCGCCGCGCGGCGCCGAGGCGCGGCCGCGGGCCGCCGCAGGAGCCCCCCCCCCCGCGCACTTCGGGAGCGGAGAGGCCGGGAGCACGGACGAGGAGGAGGAGGAGGAGGAAGAGGAGGAGGAGGAGGCCGTTGAGCAGGGAGGAAGAGGAGGAGGAGGAGGAGGAGGAGGAGGAGGAGGAGGAGGAGAAGGTGGAGGGAGGAGTCGGAGGGGAGGAGGAGGAAGGAGCAAGGAGGAGGAGGGGAGGGGGAGGAGAAGGAGCACGGACGGAGCTCGAGCGCGGACCAACGACACACCACACACACACACACACACATGCCCACAGGGGGATCGCAGGAGGCCCTGGGTGCGTGCTGTCGGAGGGGGGCCCCCGCCCCCCCCCTCCTCCACGCTTCCTCCTCCTCCCTCCTCCTCTTCCTCATCCTCTCCTACCCCTCCCTCCTCTTCCTCCATCCCTCCCTCCTCTCCTCCCCTCCTCCTCCTCCTCTCCTCCTCCTCCTCCTCCTCCTCCTCCTCTCTCCCTCCTCCTCCTATTGGCTCGATGTATTTTGCAGCAGCTCCGGGGACGGAGAGCGGGTCGTTGGCAGACGTAGCCAGTCCTCCTCCCAACGACGCCCCTATGGGTATGGGTGCGTGCTGTCCGCTCGTCAGAGAGAGCGCGGGCGGGGGCGAGCGGCGGACTGATCTCTTCCCCCCGCGAGCCGGCCGAAGATGAAGGGGCCCCAGGACACACAAATAAATACACACAAATAAAAAGATTGCCAATATTTTCCTATATTTTTTGGGTTTTTGTCTTTCGCCCCACTTCCCATATTTTTGCATATTTTCCCTGGAGTCGACGATTAATTGTGTCTGTGTGTTTCTTTCCCTCCTGAGAAGAGCCGGCGAGGCCAGAAAACGACCACACATCTGCCTGTAGCCGAAAATCGGCCTTGGATCGCGGGTCGCCCCTGTGCAGACGTAGAAATGCAAAGGCAGGCATACGTGGGGCTGGCGGAGGCTGAGCCTGAGCGAGCGGCACTTCGTCGAGCAACGGACATAGCCGTACCCGCGCCCTCGCGGCCCGGACTCTGCGCGCCATCGCGCGGGTGCGTGGTGGTACGGATGCGCTCCGCGCGGGGCGTCCGCGAAAAACCGCCCCGCATCCGCGGGGGGTCGCGGATACGGATGTTTTCCGCACGCGGATCGCGGAGCGAATAGGGCAGGAGCGGGAACGAAGAAGAGGAAGTGAAGAAGACACGACGTCGGGCGCCTGGGTAGAGGGAGGAAAAGGAAGGGGAGGAGGAGGAGGTGGAGGAGGAGGAGGAAGAGGTGAAGGAGGAGGAGGAGGAGGAGGAGGGAGGAGGAGGAGGGGAGGAGGAGGAAGAGGTGGAGGAGGAGGAGGAGGGCGGAGGCGGAGGAGGAGGAGGAGGAGGAGAGGGGAGGAGGAGGTCAAGGAGGAGGAGGTGCGATGGTGCGATGAGCCCGAAACTACGCCACCATGCAGGCCTCAGGATAACAAACAACGGAGGAGGAGGAGGAGGAGGAGGTGGAGGAGGAGGAGGGGAGGAGGAGGAGGAGGAGGGGAGGAGGAAAAAAGAGGAGGAGGAGGGGAGAAAGGGAGGAGGGGAAGGAGAGGATGAGGAGGAGAAGGAGGAGGAGGGAGGAGAGTGACAGAGGAGAGGAGGAACAGGGGGAGGAGGAGGGGAAGGAGGAGGAGGAGGAGAGGAGGAGGAAGGAACAGGGGGAGAGGGAGGGGAGGAGGAGGAGGAGGAGGAGGAGAGGAGGAGGAGGAGGAGGATGAACAGGGGGAGTGGGGGAAGAGGGAGTGAGGAGGAGGAGGAGGAGGAGGGGGAGGAGGAGGAGGAGGAGGTGGAGACGAGGAGGAGGAGGACGAACAGGGGGAGGAGGAGGAGGAGGAGGAGGAGGAGGAGGAAGAAGAAAAAGAAGAAGAAGGCACAGAGGAGCGTTCGAACGAAAGCCGGGCGAGACCACACGGCGGCCCTCCCTGGCGCGCGCGCCGTCCTCTGCGAGCCTCCCTGAAGGGGCTTCTCTCGACGCCCGCGGGCCGGCATCCGCCCGAGAGAGCGGGCTGGGGCGGACCCTCCCGAGAGGGGTCTGGGGACCCAATCGGGTTGTGCTGCAGGTCGGGCATGTCCCCCTACAGGCGGCTCTTGAAGAACACGTTTGAAAAAACATGCACGGAAACACCCAATCATAAACAACAAATATTCAGAACATCGGCTCCGTACGATTTGACTATTTTTGAATACTCCCCCAGTAGAGGGCATGCCCGACTTAAGCGTTGCTCGAGGGGGGGGCGGCGGAGCGCGAAGCCAGGGGCGCCGCCAGTGGGGGGGGCACAGCGCCGCTCCAAGAAATCAGCGCGGACCCCCGAGAAGCCAGTCTATGCCGTGTTCTGATCGTCGGTCCTCCTCCTCCCCCTCCTCCTCCTCCTCGTCCTCATCCTCGTCCTCGTCCTCATCCTCTTCCTCGTCCTCATCTTCATCCTCCTCCTCCTCCTCCTCCTCCTCCTCCTCCTCCTCGTCCTCGTCCTCCTCGTCCTCCTCGTCCTCCCCCTCCCTCTCCTCCTCCCTCCTCCTCCTCCTCCTCCTCCTCCTCCTCCTCCTCCTCCTCCTCCTCCTTCCCTCCTCCTCCTCCTCCTCCTCCTCCTCCCCCTCCCCCTCCTCCTCCTCCCCCTCCTCCTCCTCCTCCTCCTCCTCCTCCTCCTCCTCCTCCTCCTCCTCCTCCTCCTCCCCCTCCTCTCCCCTCCTCCTCCTCCTCCTCCTCCTCCTCCTCCTCCTCCTCCTCCTCCTCCGCCTCCTCCTCTTCCTCTAGGAGAAAAAACGGCACAGACATACACTTGTGGCGCTCCGTGCGGATTTCTTGTCTCCGCGCGGGGAGCGCGCCAGGGGCGGCGCCGGGGGAGCCCAGCGCGACGACGAGAGCGACGGCGAACTGGACTCAGCGCGCGGGCTGGCGTGTGCGGTCCTCCACCTCCCGGTCGGGCGTGGCGGTGCCCCGAAAGGCGCCCTCCTCCTGGGCGGCCCCGCCGTTGGGAAGGGGGGAGGGGGAGGAGGAGGAGGAGGAGGAGGAGGAGGAGGAGGAGGAGGAGGAGGAGGAGGAAGAAGAAGAGGAGGAGGGGGAGCAGGAGAAGGAGGTTGAGGAGGAGAAGGTTGAAGACGAGGAAGAAGAGCAGGAGGATTGTAGGCACCAGGAGTACCAGTTCGTCGAAGCGCTTCTGGCTCGCCTCCTCCACCTCCCTGGGCGTACCCCTAACCCTTTGGGAGGGGACCCAAGTCAGGAGGACCCAAACCATCGTAGACAGCGGGGTCCTTCCTACAGATGTGTCGGACAAAACCGCCCAAACGTTCGATCCCGAATGCAAAGACGGGGACCTCAGGTAGACCACGTCTTCACTGTGCTATCAAGGTCAAGGGTCGTTTCCTCCGCGATGAGCCGTGGCTCCGCGCGGGGCCGACCATCCTCATCCATCCTCTCCCTCCCGCGCGCGCGCCTTCCACCCCAAGAGGCCTCCAACAAGACCTCCAGGAATGCCCAGAGAGTCGCAAATACATGATGCTCCATACGATGTTGAGGATCTTCGCGCATGCTCCTTTTCGGTTTTCCGATGGCACACGGAAGGCCCGGCAGCTACCGAGATGGCCTCGAAAGCGCCCACGAGGCCTCCGAGATGTCCCCATGGCGGCCTCAAAAGACGGCTCCAAGACGGCTCATCAGACCTCCAAGACGCACAAGATGACCTCCGAGACGCCCCTGCCTGACGGGCGCCCGCTGACATGGATGACGGGTCCGTGGATCTGGTGGGTAACCACTGGATCCTGCCCCTGCAGGTCAAACTGAAAGCCTGCTGGGGTTCAGGAGCAGCCTCGAACGTATCCCTATCCCTAAGATTGACACGCCAAAAGGCGATGACAATCTTAGGGATGCACCCTCAAAAAATAAGGGAATCCCTAAGATTGGCATCGTGATGAGGAGATGCCCAGCATAGGGGTAGGGATATGTTCCAGGCTGGTAAGTTCAGAACTTGAGGGAGGTCTGCAACAGGATCAACTCCGGCGGGGGTGCCCGATGTCCCAGCGTCACTAGGACCCGCAGGGGTAGGCTTCGCAGGTGATCGCAGACCTTGGGCGTGGGCGCCAGATCGAAGGCGAAGCATTCGGCCAAGGCTGCCCAATTTGGCGAGGCGCGCGCCGATTCTGCATTGAAGTGGGACCCGCCGCTTTAATCCATGTTTGCGCTTCCTCGACCGGGAGAAGGAGACCAACGACAGCCAAACACCAATGTCGCGAGGAGCCGAGGAAGGCCTTTGGGATGGCGTGCTATCCTACTGTCGGTCGCCGTGTCGTTCTCACAGTGCTCCTCTTGCGCTGGTAAGGAAATGCTGCAGTCGGGGCTTGTCGCAGGGGACGCTTGAAAGGCCACGACGGTCTGATGATGGCAACATGTGTTCCAGACGTGAAGAAGCCATGAAATGCGATACACAGGGCACGAGGACACCCTTGATATGACAAGGTCGCCGAGGCCAAATCGTGTGTTTAGCAGCCCTGGTGACCCGGCACTCGCGGCGGACCAACACAGACGAACATCGAATCAAGAGAACGGATCGACTCGGAATGCGTGTCCGATCGGGATGCACCGGAACGGACTAGAAATCGAATCGGATCTGCTGCGCTAGGATGAGCATCCACGATCGCACAACAACCAGAACAACACTCGAAGTAGTCAGGCAAATATCACCATCCTTTGTTACGGTTGTGAACATGTGGCACCTGGCTATGACAAGATTCAGGCGTTGGCAGAACTGGGTTTAGTGGGACCTGGTTTAATAATGTGTACTGGGGGACGCCCCCCCCGCCCCGTTCCACTAAACGGAACTGCCGTCACCCGAAAACACACCAGCTACGGCAAACCTGGTTTAATGCCTCTGGCAAAATCAGGGGCTCCGGGGCCCCCCTAACCGGGTCCCCTTACCTGGGGTCCTGGCTATACCCGAAATATGAACGAGATTCTCGGTTCACATTCACCTAGCACCTGGATAATTGAATTATCCTGGCGCGTATCGGAATCAAACTAGGCCCTTCCGGCCCAAGCAGACGTTCGATCGGCACGCACCTGCATGACCCCCGCATCATAATCTAATCCCATACACCTGGCGCACGACATGTATCCACCTTGGAGCCGTCGTGCTCTATCGCCAAAAGGTGCAACCTGGGAGGTGGCATTGTCCGCAGTAGATGGTTACCAGTGCTACGGCGCACTAATATAAAAAGAAGCCATCCTGTCTGCAGGGACGGGAGCTTAGCTTCGCCCTCTTAGCGGCCAGCGTGGCTCCGAATGTACGTATAAATTCCATTACCGTTCGCCCAACGGCGCCAGGGTCCGCTGCTTGACACTGAGGTGATCTTGCGACTGCCGTAGGTCCCCACGCTTACAATTTCCCCATCTGGATGTCGATGTTGCACACGTCCGTAAATGTCGTCCACACCTTCTGGAGGATCACATGTCACGGAGATGTCGTTCGAATAAGCGGTTACATCCGTTCGGGGTGCTAACACTGATGGCACTCAGCGCCTTGCGGAGAGCTAGGCAGAACAGCCTCCGCATCAATGCGTCTCCAAATTCCCCCCCGTCTAGCAGAACCGCGCCATTTCAACTCAGATTGGGCGCCATACCACATTCGCACAAACTGAACGAGCCCGTGCAGCGCAGAATCTCTCAGGATGTTCGAACATACGGGCGCGTTTGATATTCGTACACTCCCACGCCAGCAACGCTAAAAATGATCGGATGTGGATATGCATCAACCAGATACCGGAGCAAAGAATTTGCAATGTTCACCCCACTATGGTTGGCAATGCCGAAAATGCACAGCTGTACTGCTCGCGGTCAAGAATATTGGAACGGTTTGGCTAAACTTCGTGCTACAAGGCGGCGTAACGCATCTCCTGTCGCGATGCCGCGGACTCGAGCCTCGTCTTTCTATTCAACTGTGATGGAGGACGCACGAGGCAGATCAATACTCGGCTTTGGTATGTTCGGTTTCGCTAATCAATCTGCCGCAAAACACGCATGGTCGAATGGCGTCGCGTCCTCCATGCATAATGTGGAACAACTCTCACCTTCGACCCCACATGTCCGAATTCAGGCTTCTCCGCGAAATTCGCAACACGGCTGCGAAAAGATTTGCATCGAGGGCGTCAGGAACGGCCGGGTTGAAGCTGGCCATTTCTGACGGAAATGAATCTGCTGGCCGATCTGGCGGGAACTGCAGCGAAAAGCTTGTCCCATGCACCCATGTCAAAAGATGAAGCTCGGCGCGTCAATTCTCATTCTCCCGATGTGCCTCCATGCGAGGACGGGTGTAGGAACAAGGGGTAATATAATGAAGGGGATCAAATTGGTTAAACATAAATTCGTTGTGCTTGCTTTGTTTATTCGTGGTTGTCGAGCCGAACGTCGTCGAATACGGTTGGCCAAACACTCCTATATATCTGGAGTGTCGTGCGAACCCACAACCATCGCGAAGAAACCAATTTACATTCGACGAACCTCCATCGTCATTCATGCCACTCTGTTTTCAAGTTGCTCTAACTGGGCATTGAAATAAGCAGGTTGCGAAAACCATAGGTTGGTAGTGACCCTCGATGTCACCCACATAAATGAACAAGCCTTGTCCAGAATGCCTATGTGCCGCATTCCCGTATCGTATCTGATCAAAAACATCCCACGCTGCACCTATATCGACAATGTCGTAAACGTTGGGGGACTCGTATACGAGAAAAATGCATAAATGTTCCAATTATGATATAATGGGTACGACATTTGACGTCCCTGCAGTTGCTCACATGATTGGCGCATTGAAACTGTACCATTTCTGCCAATCGATGATACTTTGCATGGATATACTGTCGGATTCTGTTGGAATGCGCCGAAATAGACGCAACAGGCTACAAGATGCTTCAACAGCGTCGGGCGGAGGTCGGATAGAAACCAATCCTTGATCATCACTATCGTCTACGCCGGCAGCTGCATCCCCAAGTTCCTCAGATGGATGAGGTACATCTCGATGTGGGTCATGACCACAATCGTCGCTCCCGGGGCGGAAAGTGGATCTTGAGGACTGGGCGCTGGAGTCGGGATGCCATCGAGATGGACTGTGCGGAGAGCTCGATGAAGACCGGATTGAGGTTGCTGTTCTGCATGGGACGATTGCTCGTTTAACCCAACGGCAAAATGGGTATGCGGTTTTGGCTCTACGTCGGATGGTGGCGGTGCCATGCGCAATGGAATCGTCGACGCACGTGGAAGCCGACCTTCCGGCAAGTCGTCGTCGCATTCATATTCATCCAAGACACTATGCTCCCAGCGTCGCATGCTAACATGCCGCCAACTTGACTTCATATCTCTTGGATGCATGGAATGCTGGGCGGTCTAGGGAATCCTGTGACCGGAATTGGAGGCGGGGTGCCGCCCTGCCCCATACGGAACAGATATTGTCCGACAGTCGGGTTGACGTTCAGACATTGCGTAGCTGCCACGAACGCCCCTTGTAAAGCCCCACAGTCATTTGATAGATGGTATGCTCTTTCGATAACGCATTCGTATGCGTCTGGTCCCAGCGAATGCCATGATTGGGCAACCATTGAACCTCGCCATTCGTATTCATAACCCCAACTTCTCGGAAAAGCGTCGGAGCAGTAAATATCCCCGACGTATGTTTCCTGGTGTCAGTTGTTGGTGGTTGGTGCGTGCTTTTGCCCCAAACAACGACACGTAACCAATCAAGAGTGGGATACGATATGTGATACCAAGTCGCGTTCCACATAAGAGGCTCCAAGAATTCAGACCACTGATGGTTCAGAATGAGCTCGAACACCTTCCTCGTGCGCATGTCCCCCGATCACACAACTCGGCAACCTTCGATCTGGAGCGCGCGCTTGCCACGGCTGACGGTCCTGGGAGGAAGCTGTCCAGTGGGGAAAGCCTTTGGTCGTTTCGCTAGGGCGACGCAATCTATACATATCCACTGCTCCCTGGCCAGGCCCATCCTGAACACAGCAGCTGTGTATACGCCACGCCCTCCTGGTTTGGCCAGGAGGGCGTATACACAGCTCCTGGGTTCAGGATGGGCATGGCCAGGGAGCAGTGGATATGTATAGATTTCGTCCCCCGATTCGCGTCCAGCGTTGAGGGCCACCATTGGGAGGGGGGGTCGGGGCAGATCAGCCGCCAGCGTCGGAGGCTGCGGCCCAAGGCCCGGGACATCGAGAGCTCGGTGCACAGGCGGTGCGCCCTCCGCCTGCCCCTTCTGCAGGCGGAGGGGGGGGCCGTCGCGCCCGCCACAGATCTCGATCAGTTCGTCGGGGGGGCGAGGCTCGTCATCGTGTTCGTCGGCGTTCCGTCCGCTCGCCGCATCGTCATCGCCCAGAAGTCGCGGGGACGGGGACTGCGGCGCCGCGGATCAACGTCCGTGTGGAGTCCAGACAAGTCGACCTCGTGCCAGAACGCCCTCCCTCGGACTCCAACATCGCGAATCAAAGTAACTGTTGCGCCCTGGCAGTCGGACATCGGGTCAAAACACATTGTCTGGGACGTCAACTATAAAAATCCGGAAAACAACTGCAAACTCTGAAAATGCGCGGCGCCAAAGAGAGAACTTTCTGTTTGAAAAGAATCGCCCTCCATCCGTCAAATGCTTGCACGTTTTTAGTCTTAATTTGCACAACCCTAAAACGAGAACAACATCTTTAGAACTACCCACCCCCCATCCGTGACATTCTTCCGAACTCTTGAAACGACTGTTCGCGGCACCAAGGCGATACCCGTATGTTTGAAGAAGGCCCGCCCTCCAAACATAAAACCCTTCCGAACTTGTGAAACGAATGTGCGCGGCGCATCCGTGAAACTGTTGCAAGTATTGAGCTTCGGATCCTGGATTGCGATGGGGTCCCAGGCGAAACGCCCGGCCAGCCCTACCGACACGTCTCGGGGTGCGACAGAGATGAGTGAGATTGAAAGATGATGGAGGCGGAGGAGGAGGTTGCGCGTTCGAACAGCGACCCCTGGTTGCCCATTTGCTTTCGCGGCCTCCTGCGGACTCTGAGGCTCAAACACCTGTCTTCTGCGAATTCTCGGCGTCTTTCCCAATATCCAACCAGATGGTTGCGGTTGATAGCGAGTCCATGCTTGAACGAACAGAGCGTGAACTCTATCACCGAACATTTGCATCTGTGATATGTTTCCTCGGCTGGGGCGCTCTTCCTCCTCTCGCCACTTCCCCCTCAGTGGGAATAGGAGCAGCAGGAGGATCGCACCAACTATATCGGACTCGTTGAGTTCAATGTCCAGAGGGGAACAGGGTAGACGCAGTAAGAGAGAGAGCGTGGTCTGTGCAAGAGTGACAAACTGACAATGAAAGATGACGCGGAACTCAATCTCACAACTCATTGTCACGTCATAGCTGCAAGCAAGATCCCCCGAAAACAAACCGCTCCGTGCCCCCACTCTGCACCACACACCCCAATCCCCACCGCCCCCTCAGTCGCTCCAGCTCCCCACTATCCGATTCCCTGTCTTTGTCCTCCACCCATGGCACCAACTTCTTCCCCCTATTTCACCGCCTCCTTGCCCTCGTCGCCTCCCCCGTCATCGCAGTCCTCACCCACGCCGTCGCCGTCGCCATCTCCGCCGTCGTCGTCGTCGTCGTCGTCGTCGTCGTCGTCGTCGTCGTCGTCGTCTGGTAAAGGCTAGTGTTAAACGTTGGTCTTGGCTCGAGCCGTGCTCGGCTTTGGCAGAGCGTGGCAGGTGCAGGAACGCAGTGCGCCTGGAAAGGGCGTCGGGCCAAGAGGTGGGTGGCGCCTGTGAAGGCCTCCTCTCTCGGGTCGTGCGAAAGGGGGGGATAGCAAAGGGGGGGTTTGAGAATCAGCTCACGTAGCTGATTTTCCCGGCGCCTCCCGGCGCCGGAGGCGCCCATGTATCGAGGAATGGGCCGCTCGGTGAGGCCGAAACCAGCTGCATGCAGCAAATTTCGTAACCCCCCCTTTCCCAATCCCCCCCTTTCGTCCGGCCCGAGGGTGGCGCAGAACCGGATTCGCCACGGCCACCACTGAAATCATCAACTGAGCATCGGGTTCATCGACGGCGTCGTCGTCGTCCTCGGCGTGGTCGTCGTCGGCGTCGTGGCGCCGTCGTCGCTCGCTGTGCTGTGTGGGTCTCTCGCCGGGGCGTCCCCTCCATCTCGCGGATCTTCACCCTCAGGAGCCCCGCCGGGTTCCTGGCGGGGCAGCGGGCGGCGGTGGCCGAGAGGGGGAGTTGGGGCGCGGAAAGATACGGATACGTGTCGTCCCCGGACCTCTCTTGGGGTGCGTTCTGACCAGAATTTCGAGGCGAATCCAGCGGCGACAACGAGGATTCCCCAGGAGGACCAGGAAGGGCCGACAACGAAGGGGGACAACACGTATCCGTATCTTTTTCTCCCCCACGCCGGGGGGAGGAGACGAGTGGAGGAGGAGGAGGAGGAGGAGGAGGAGGAGGAGGAGGAGGAGGAGGAGGGAGGGGCAGGAGGGGGAGGAGGGGGAGGAGGAGGAGGAGGAGAGAGGAGGAGGAGGAGGAGGGAGGAGGAGGGAGGAGGAGGAGGAGGAGGAGGAGGAGGAGGAGGAGGAGCGGCGGGGGGCGGGGGCGAGGAGGGCGCGCCAGGGCGGAGGCGAGAGGCCGCCCAGACCTCCGACAGCAGGACTCCGCCGCCCCTCTGGGCGCGTGGTGCTGTCGGACACGTCGGCAAGTCGGGGCCCGCTCGCGGGCCCGCCCTCGAGCCCTCAAGACGCGCCCCTCGGGGGCGAAGAGAGCTCGCTCCGCGGAGAGGGGCGTTTTGGGAGCCCCTGGGCCGCAGGTGGAGAGAAAAAATCAGTCCAGCGCGCGTCAAGGGGAGGGAGGAGGAGGAAGGAGGAGGAGGAGGAGGGGGAGGAGGAGGAGGAGGAAGAGGAGGAGCAGGAGGAGGAGGCTTAACACTTGAAGATCAAAACGCAAACACTTGAAGATTAAACGTTCTAGCTTGAAAGAACATCCGTCCAGCGCGCGTCAAGGGGGGCCCCGCTGCTCCGCACTGGCGCACGTTCTCGGCGATCCGCGCGGATCTGTCAGGTCGGCGCCGAGCCCCGCCCCCGCCCCCTGGCGCGAGGAGCGCGCCGGCGGAGGCGTCGGGGCGCCCCCCCCCCACTGCGGGGCCCACCGCCGACGCGACCTGCGCGGAGGTCTCCTCAAATCTGTGCCGGCGACGCTCACTGTTCGGCTCCCTCGTGCTCGAGGGGAGGAGCTGGAAGGCTCGGGAAAGCCCTGCTCCCTGCTGAGTGCGGGGGGTTCGTTGCAGCGTGGCGCCTGGCTGGACCTGTGACCAACCTGTTTGCGCGAACGCCTTGCCAGTATATCTGATGACGCGTGTTTGTAGATTGCACGCGTTCATGGCATGCTTCCGCCGTCGTGCAGGAGGCACTGCTTGGACCGTCCTCAACATACTGCATATTGACTCCTGGATTCTTTCAGGAGCCCGGAAACCAGAGTCCGGAGCGCTCATGAGCGTTTCGCGGAATTGCCGCGTGTTTGCTTCGGGGGTCGCAACGAGCAAACAGGTCTGCGCTTTGGTGCGTTCGGCTTACATAAGGAAAACGAGCTGGACCAATAATCCCTCTGGTGACAAATGGCCCCCGGAAACCACCAAGGCGCCAAAAGGGTCTCGCGGACCACAACGAGAGGAACCCAAGAGGCGCCCAGAAACCTTCACGATGCCGCCACAGAAAACCCACACATATCCCAAGGGGCATCGAAAACGCTGCTGGCCCACCAACCAAGCACGGTGGTTTGGCGAGCCACCGACCATTCATCTCTCTATATCCACGTATACGTATGCATGTATGTGTATCTATCTACACAAATAAATACATCCCAACGCGTAGATATGCGCGCGTGTACCAGAACCATGCGCGCTGCGCGTGCGCTTCGTATCTAGCCAGCATCGCAGTCGTTGTCGGCAGACCTTGCGCTCATGCACGAACCCCTAGATGCCAACGGGCAGGTTTCCCAGGCAAAGGCCGCCCTGGGCGCGTCGAGGTGCTGCACCTTCTGGGGGATAACTGCATGCTCGGCTTGCCATGGCGGAGCCGTGCGACATCGACGTGCGAAGCGTCGGAAAAGACACCGAATGTTACCTCCAAGGTGACCGAGGAGGGCCCCAGAGGCTCGGCGCCGCCAAGCCGCCGCCGCCGGCGCCTCCGCTGCCCCCGCGGCCGCCGCCGCCGCCGTCGTGATGATTGTCGCGGAGGTCATGGTCATGGTCGTGGTGGTAATGGTCGTCGCTTGTGGGCGTGATCGAACGATTGCCCGTTCTGGGGACTGCTTCGCTTTCCTGAGGCCTCTGGAGGCCCCCAGACTTTGAAAAGATGTGGTGGCCGTCGGCCGTCGCCGATCGTCGCCGTTGTGGTCGCCGTCAGACCTCTCGGGGCCGCCGGGGCTCCTCGTCGTCACTGTCGTCGTCGTCGTGGTCGTCGTGATCGTCGCTGTCGCCGCGCTTGCAGTCGTGGTCGCCGCGCTAGCGGTCGTGATCGTCGCTGTCGCCGCCGGCGTCGTCGCAGTCGTCTGCGTTCGAGGGGGAAAGGAAGGACCCAAGGTCGAGGAGCGCAGTTGATACATTATCTTGAGGCCTTCTTTCGGCGGTGGACAAACCTCCCTTTCGTAAAACTCCCTGTATGACTACCTACCAGACCACCCCAACCCAACCCGAAGACCCGAATTTCGGGTTGGGTGGGGTAAGGGTTCCATATGTGTTTTCTCAATGTTCCCCGATCCCCCCCCCACTAGAAATGGATGGCAAATCGGGGCCTTCGAGTTGGGTTGGGGTGGGTTGGTGGGTGGTGACTTTAGTGAAACGGTCCAGGACCGAAACCAACGGACCTGGACCCGCAAACAGAACGGCCGCGACGCCCTCTCGCGAACCGAAAACGGCCAATTCGCTAATCGACGTGTCAGGGTAGGAGGTCTATCCACCCCCGATTCTTGGCTCTCCCGGGGTCGCTGTCGCCGCCGCGGCGTCCCCGCCAAGCCTCGTCCAGCGCGCGGGAGCCCCTGGGAGGAGCACGGAGTTGCGGGGGGTAGACCCGCTCGCTCGCGGGCACAGCTTCGGAGGCACGGGACGCGCTGCCGCGGACGCACGCGCGCGCGCGCGCCCGTGTCAGCCATGCTCAGCGGAGATGTCGAAGCCGAAATTGCCTCCGCCAACAAAGAAGCTCACCGCACTGGGGCCCGCATCAACCGACAGGGCGTCGTCGCAAAGGTCAGGCCAGCTCATGTCCCCAGAAGGCCCGAGATCGACATGAGGTTGCCTTTGGAAGGCTGGGCTCACGCGCGTCGATCACCATTCTGATGTCGCCAGCTTTGGCAACGAAGAAGACGCCGACTCGATAGATGATGCTGCAGCAGAAGGAGATGAGGCCCAGGCGGCGAAACAAACGAGCGAACTCCCGCCTCCCCGACGATCTGGATCGCAGGCTGGCGCCCCAGCACGGCCTGACCTGCGGGGCCTCGCCAGCCCCCGCGAACTGGTCCATGCCATCAGGAGATCGGTCGACAGAGCAACGCCTGCTTTCGCGCAGATGGCAAGCCCCGGGCGACAGGCGAGGCCGAAAAAGGTAGACGACGAACCGATCCACGAAGCGCCGCGCGATTGCTGCGATCGCATGGCGCCAAGTTCGCGCACACTTCGAGGGGCAGAAGTCTTCGATGTGAACTAACCAGCTCGAAAGAAATCACCTTGGGCGGCGACGCAGGGTTGGGGGCCGCGCCAAACGATGCTTGGCGGCGAGCAGAAGGGGTTAGGGGGAGGGGGGAAGGCTTCTTAGAAGGAGGCTGCTTCTTATAAGGCGCCGGCCTTACATCTACAGAGAAGGCCCGCACCTTCTAAGAAGCAGGGGTGCTTCTAAGAAGCCTTCCCCCTCTGCGCGCCGCCAAGATGCGCCTACGATCCCGCCGATGGATGTCGCGCTAAGGCCTCCGAGGGCAGGACATCACGTGGCGTGAGCCGGCGATGGGGCCCCGTTTGGCCAAAGCCAGGAAAGGGGAAAGGGTCGCATCGCTGATGCCCCGGCCGAGGAACCCCACGCCGAGCGCGACGACGACGCCGCCCGCGAGGGCCGCGGGGGCAAGGTGATGGCCTGCGCCTAGGCGGAAACTGGAGCTGACCGGCCATCCCCCCGGCCCGCCCCCAGCGGGAACCTACTTGCCGCCGCCGGCGGGGCCGGCTGGCCCACCGCCACGCCCGCGCCCGCACCCGCACCCGCGCCCGCGCCCGCGACGGGCGTCGCCGGCGCCCGGGCCGCCGCGGCCGCCGCCGCCGAAGCCAGAGCCGCGGCCCTGGGCTGCATGCCCCCGCTGCTCGGCGAGCAGCTGCTCCTGCTTCAGGGCCTGGGCGCGGTCCCGCTGTGCGGCGCCGAACCAGTGCTGGTGCTTCGTGGTGGCGACGCCGCCGTGGTCGTCGATTCCCGGCGACAGCAGCACGCCAATGCTGCTCATGCTGGGGTTATTCGGATTGCGGCGCAGGGCCGATGAGTCGCGCCAGCAGCACTGCCGACGCCATATTGTGCACAGCCACCTGGTCGAAGGACTTTACGTGGGTCATGGCCTCCGAGGTGCGGCGATGAGTGCGAGCCTGGCCCAACCGACTGGCGTCCGATCCCACTCTCACTCGCGAGATCCAGGTGGTGGGACATCCACTCGTAGACCGTCGCCCTCAAGGACTGCGCGAGTCGGGCCGGGCGAAAGGGGGGGATAGTTCAAAGGGGGGGGCTTGAGAATCAGCTCACGTGGCTGATTTTCCCGGCGCCTCCCGGCGCCGGAGGCGGCTATGTATCGAGGACTGGGCCCCTCGGTGGGGCCGAAACCAGCTGCATGCAGCAGATTTCGTAACCCCCTCTGCCCTTTCCCTACCCCCCCCCTGTCGTCCGGCCCGAGCGAACTCGGGCGTCAGCCTCTCGCCCTGGAAGAGCCAGCCGGGGACCACCTCGATCTTGGAGGGGGCCACTGCACCGGACACGGCCCTGGAGCGCGCTCCGTTCTCGCGGACACCTCCCAGAAGTCGAGGATCGCCCCTGGAGCCGGAGCGCCTCTCCCTGACCCAGCCTGCATGATCAGCCGGAGCGACCGAAGTCAGGGCCACCCACTCCGCTTCTATTAGCGCCATGCCGATGCTGTCTGGGGGCCTGCATGCAGCCTTCCTTTCCGTGGCGATCGAGGCTGGCAACTCGTCGTCGAAGCCAGCGTGAGCTGTGTTGGCGACCCGCCTGACCGCCTGGCTGGGGATCGCGGCGCCCGCGCTGGCCATGCCCAGGATGTCGAGCACGACCACGGCACTGCTGCGGACCTGCTCCAGCTCGGCGGGCGTCAGAACGTCGAAGATGCATGCTGCCGCCGCGTAGCTCGCTGGAATTATGGCATGGCGCTCCTGGGCAATGACGCGGTGGCTGTTGAGATCGGCCACCTGCGCGCTAAAATCGGGGGTGCAGATGATCCACCGCCCTGCCACGGGGGCGGGCTTCAGGAGAAGGCGATGGCGCCAGCTGAACCCGTTCGCATCGTTGAACAAATCCAGCATTAATCGCCGCTTGGGCACGTGCAATGACCTGGCGGCCATCTTACTGTTATAATGCTCTGCGGCTTGCTGGCGAAGCCAGGCCTGGAAGTCTTTGAGTTCCTGCGCCACACGCGGGTTCGATCTGCGGGATGGGGGCTGGTCCTGAAGATGCTGAACCATGTAACTACGAAGCATCTCTGCGAGGCGTCCGATGACGAAGAAGAGGATCGCTACGAACGTGAACGTCGGATGTGAGAAACCATCCTCCACCGGTGGATGGATCTGTTACAATCGCCCGGGGGTCAACTGGGTGCTGTGAGGCGTTCGGGCCCACACCGGTCGAGCTGCCGCTGCAGCGCGGTGGTCTCCCAGTGATCGGTGAGCCGCGAAACGGCACCGTAGACGCCGAGGTAGGCAGTGCCTTCCAACCAACGTGCGAGCCAGTCCATGCACGGACCAAAGGCGGGGTCACGGAATGGCGAGGCACCTTAAACAAAGACCGCTGCGGAGCCGATCTGAAACGGGGCTTCAGAGATGGCCAGTATACATTCATTATGTGTAAATCTCTCGCTAATGCAAGGTGAAACGAACTTGATGCACTTTGCACTGCCTAGGTGCAACACATTTTTCTTATATGAACGTACGGCCCGATCTACCACGATCGTTAAGGAACCCCGTTCGCGAATACATATATATATATATATAGATATATAGACCGAGAGGGAAACACCAGCACAGGTAGCGCCCTTCCTCTGAAGACTGAACAAAAAGGGCTCGCACGCAATCGTGATTTGTGCATCTATCTACGTCTGTTTCTCGACATGATTCATTGTACATCTAGGAGCGATGAAAGGCCAAGTCATCCGGTCCAGAATATGCTGCAACGGGCTCACAAAAGGGGCTCTCGAATAGAATGCAACACGTGCGCGCAGCATCAGCTTCAATGCGGCTACTTCTCGTGGCGCCGCTGGGCGCGCCGGCACTCCGACCGGCGAGGAGGACAGGGGTACGGGGGCGGGGCAGGCCTTTCGCCAAGAAGCACGGTCCTGCGGGGCCGCTGTGCTTCGGGACAAGCCTACACTGTGCAACACACGAAGCAACTACAAGGACTGCAGCCGGGAGCACGCAGACCGCACCACCCACGAAAGCATAGGCGTCGTAGAGACATGCCCACTATTCGACGGCCTTCCCAGAAACAGCACCCGGCCGGCTAATGAATACCTGCGGCTCCTCACATACAGCTGGTGAACGAAAACAGAGCGCTGCGAAAAGCAAGCTCGGAACATTCGAACCCATTGTCAGGGAAGGTCACAAGCATTCCTGGCACAACGTGTCCCTAATTTTTCGCGCCATGTTGGATTTCCTGCAAACCTCCTGTTCTCGTGAGGGGTGCTTCCACGGCCATCGGGGCCTGGGAACACATGGGGCGGCAACTTGAGCCTGGTCCACCTCTGGCAACACCCAATGTGTGTGTGTGTGCCACATTGTTGGAACCGGACCGATCCAACAAAGAACCCACAAAGGCTCGAGGCAGACAGTCCCGTGCGCCACGATTTCGCCGCGACGCCCAGATCCGACACGGGCCGCGCCCTGCACCCGCCAGCCTGACCTGGTCGTCCGTCGTCATCGTGATTCGTTGTTCCTTTTTCGTCGTTCGTCGCCGCAATCATCTTCGTCCTCGTTCGTCCATGCCGCTCGTCGTCGCTGTTGTCTTTCCACGTCGCCACTATCGCCGTCCATCGTCGGCCTATGAGAGCCCAGCCGCCTGGCACCCTCCAGGATCTCCCACAGCGCCTTCATGTCGTCTTCGAAAGTGCCTTGCCGCTTCTTCATCTGCACGTCCAGGTCCCTGCGAGGCCGGCCCCAGCGCCGAGGGAGAGGAGGAGGGCGAAGAGCAGGCGGCACGAGGAGGGGGATGATGTGAGAGCAGCAAAGGAAAAGGATGACAAGGAGGGGAGGGAGATATCGCCGATTACATACAGGGAATGAGGAGCGAGCGGAAGATATGGGTATGTTCCCTCGCAGCTGCGGGTGGCCGTCCAAGTTCATGCTAGTCTTCTGGCGTTGTGCTGGCGTTTGTTGGCATCGAGCGGCCGCCAGCGGAAAGATAAGAGCGGGGGGGGCAAGGGAGAGTGAGAATCTCTGAAATGCGGAAAAGGACAACAATACAGGAAAGGAAACGGAAGGATGGAGAAGCAATCGAGGACTGGAGGAATCGAACGAGACTAGATGAGTAACGAAAAAATGAAATTGCGGGTGGCAGTCGTGAAAAGTAGGAAGCATCGCGGCACTGGCAACATGATAAATAGCATAGCGGCGGTCGCTTTTCAATATCGTACAAATGCGCGGGCCCGCTGCTCCGTTGCTGCCCAAACAGCAGCGGACCCTTCCAATTCGAGCCGGGGCCACCCAGCAATAGAGTGCCCCGCCACAGGAACTTAGGCCACAGACGGCCACCCCCAATGGAACGCCAGAGCATTCACTGCGCGGCCGCAGCAATGGACGCTTGGCACAGCTGATCCATGGTTCAAGCCCTGGGAGCCCTACTGGCTCGCTTATGGTCTGCCGTGCGCGAGACGAGCGAAACTGACCCTGGCCAAGGTTGCGGATCGTAGCGCCTCCCGACCGCCGGGAGAAACCAGGGACAAGTTCTTTGCCCAGCGCGACAGGCCGATGCCGCCTCGCAGCCGTCGTGCCCGGCGTGCGCTCGAGCCGCGGCGCCGATAGTGCCTTTCAGCCAGGCTCGCTCCCTGGCTCAATTTCCCGCGCGCTGCTGGCGTGGCAGCTCGCCTTGAGCGCACTTTTGTGAGTGGATGGCGGTGGGCGCAAATGGCCACAGTGTCGCTTGCGTGGCCGCGTAGCTGGAGAGCATCCACGCGCCGTGTGTCGTGGGCGCGCAGATGCAGCTTGTCCAGCTGTCTGCGGCAGCGCGCCTGTAGTTGCGGACGCTCACCAGGTCACGCCTGTTGACAAGTCCGCGCGGTGGTCCGGTGACTGCTGGGCGGCGCCGACGCGGCGCGTGCTGTCTGGAGGCGGCCAGCAATAGCGCAGCGTCGCAGGTGCCTACCTCGGCCGTTCGTAGCTGCCCCGCTGTCTGCTGCACAGCATGGCCGACGTGCGGGGGCACCGCGACGCATGCCAGCTGGTCTGCACGGAGGCGCGGCCAGCGACTCAGCACTGACCTCTGCGGCGGAGCGCTGTCGCGCTGGCACTTCGCAGCGCAGGCGGCGCCGAAACTCCAAAGCCAGGCGCGCGCGCCAGTCGAGTGCCAGACGAAGTGTGCAGGCCTGGGCTTCGTGATGAGAAAGTTCATGCAGTCGCCCGCGCAGCGCCGATCTCCTGCTAGTCAGGAAAAACCCCTGCACTTAACGAAACGGCTGGCCGGCCACTGATGGAGTGGAACGGATTCTCGATGGCGCTTGTGCAAAACAAGATTGGACGTGGGCGCGCGATCAGACCATCCCCGCGGCGCTCGTCGCAGTGCCACGCCGCTGGCCCATCGGATTGTAAACGTGCACGAGCCCATCGGCACGCGGCGGCGGCTGTCAATGCGCACGTGAACATATGCTGCGCAGCGCGATCAAGACAATAATGGTGCTGTGCCAAGTGGGGGCGCGCGCACTTCATGTCGATCCGTTGTCATTGCGGCGGGGTTCGCGCCGCTGGCAGCCGCGCGACGGCAGCTGGTTCGGCCAGCTGTCCATGCCCAAGACATGGAGTCGCGCGCAGCCATGACGACCGCGCGCCGTTGCGCTTCTGCATGTCGCCGCCAAGATCATGGCGGTGAGCCTGGTGGCTGGGCGTGACCTCGCTGGCAGTGTCCTGGGACACGCACTGCTGCGCGCGTCGACGCGCTCGCGCGGCACTGTCTGCACGAGGGCGCCGTCAGTCCTGCCGCGCCAGGCCATTTCATTGTTTGAGACGCCAATGTCCGAAACCAGCTTCGCGCCGGCGCCCGTGATGCGGCTTGTCCTGCACGCGAGGGTCCTCGTCGGCCTTTGTTGACTACGATCTCGTCCAAGCCCTCCTGGTGGCCGACAATCTGGAAGGTCGACATCGGCATGAAGTCCCTAACGGCGTTGATCCTGACGGGCGTCGCAGGGTAGATCCCGCCCACTGTCGGCAGGATCAGCGCCGAGGTCTGCCAGACGTCGTGCTCTGAAGAATGCAAGTGGGCTGGGGATCGCCACGAGACTGGAGATCGCCATGAGACTGGACATCTGGGCGCAGGCGTCGGCAACGGTCGCCTCCGCAAGGCCAGGGGGGCGGCGGGCGGTCGGGCCTTGTCCGCCATCTCGTTCATGGTGCCTTCGCAAACGCTAGGGGATTACACTAAGCTGTACGTCTATCTGGCGGCGCAAGTGGAGGGCCCGACCATGCGCTTTGCTATGCGGACGCCGCCGACGGATTCATCCATTGCGCCGACCTCGCGAAGGCGCTCCATATGATGCATATGCGCTCCATATGTTGCCTCGCGCCGCAGTCCGATCCCCGACGCCCCTCCGAAGCCACGCGAGGCAGCAGACCGCTGACCTCCTCGAAGGCGTCGGAGAGGCTAGACTCGACACCCCTGGTGGACACCATGCGGTCGGCCTATTGAGCGCCGCGGGAGGCTGCGCTGCCCTCCATCCTGGCTGGCGCGGCGGCGCGCGGAGCAGCCTGCGGCGCGAAGGCCGCGGCGAAAACGTGGTCGCGGCATTGGCGCGTCGGCATCCACGGCGAGGCAAGGCGGCAGGATGCGCGACTGTTCCTGCAACGAGCCTCGCGGCCTAGACACGGGCCGCTGGGGTCGCCCCGAACCTGCCTCGGCGAGGTGACTGCGGGATGAGCGCAATCAGCAGTCTGCCTGGGGGTCGAGCCGCACCTTCATGCGCACAGGAGCCTCTTGGCCACGACTGCGGTGCTGCTCGATGGAGGTCGCCCGTATAATAAGCTAGATGCTTCGCTCGACTCAAGAGCCAGACGGTCCAGACCGTTAATGTGCAGACTCCACTAGGATGCCTGGTCGCCCGGACACTCAAGGGGTTGCTGCGTAGTGGTACTCGGCCAAGGTGGAGCGGCGCTTGCGCAATGAAGCGTGCCGCGCACGTGGGCCGCGCCAGACTGGTCTCGCGGTTCGCGATCGTAGTCGCGGAAATGTCGGCCCGCCCGAGTCGCCCAGAGGCCGAGCCTGCGCTCGCGAGCCGTAGATTGGCGCGCGAACCAGGCTGAGCATCTGCCAGAACGGTGAATCAGATACAGACTGGCGCTCGCCGCTGGGGTGTGCGATGCCGAGGACAACGGCGAGTCATGTACGTGACGTGGCGCAAAGGTAATGCGTCGCACCCAAGTGCAAGACGCACCGAAGGTGTCGCGATTTGCGCTGCATGCAAATTCAAGTCCATATGAATCTTGTCGCATGACAGCGGCAACGCTGGCTGCCCTGCGCCGGGCAGAGTGCGCGCGCAGAGATCGGCGCGCAAGTGGCGCCTCGCGCGCGCGCGCTCTCGCGCGCCGCAATGGGCGCGCGCGCGAGCGCGACGTGACGCGCAGAAGAGCGCAGGAGCCAATGCCACACTGTTGCCAGGATGACGGCGCGAACTGGCGGCGCACAGATGGACGCAACCGAACTGGGCGAGGCTACGGCTCGCAGACGGCACCTAGAAGACGGCGCAGGCACCGAGGACAACGCACTTGTGCCCCAGCAGCACCGAGAAGTCGGCGCTGGAGCGTAGGGCAGTGTACCCTCTGGCGTTGGTCTGCGCTTGGCCATGCTGAGCGCTGGCCCACAAAACTCGGCCTCCTCGCGCGCCGCTGCGTTGTCCCAAAGAGTGGCGTAGCTCTAGCGTTTAGCGCGTGTATGTATGTGTGCGTGCACAACTGCCGGCGTGTTCGTGCAGGCTGAAGTTGGACGGGCGCGCGGGGTGCAGTGGTCTGTGGCGTAGCCTGTGCGCCGGCGCGTTTCGGCAGGCAGGTCGCGGTCGCGCGGGCCCGGACTGGCGCTGCCGGCTGGTGACCCTTTCGGTGATATTGTGTCTCCTCGAAATGACTGTTTCGGCTTCGGGCAATTCACTGCGAACCCTTGGCCGGGGACCGCCATGCTGATTCCCAAAGCCCCCAGAAACGAGGGATGCGGAAGTAGCGTTGTTCTAAGTGTCACGGCCACGTGGTGGATAATTCTTGGGAGCGGTGCTGCCTCGGGCCCGTCTGGAGTGGAAGCAGATCGCCCCCGTGGTGGCGATCGTGCTGGCGTCAACGACAGTATAGGACACGTAGCTGGGCAGGGTGTGGGCCGCTTGATGTCAGCGCAGTCAGAGCACATTCAATGGCTGCAGTGCCGCCTGTCGTGGTCGACGGTATCGTCGTCGATGCAGCAGCTGTAGTCGTCGGCGTCGTCGCCGCCGTTGTTGTCACCGCGACCGTGGTCGAGTTGCGAGGGCCGTGCATCGGCGTGCCATGGCATTTGGTGTGCGCATGGTTGCTGGGTGCGGCCGCGCATAGGCATTGCGCTGGCGTCGCGGAGTCTGGCGGGCCATCGTAGCTGCCCGCGTCGTTGGCCTTGCCTGGGCGCCGGCGCGCTTCCGCGGCCGCGCGCCCGGCGCAGGCGCGCGCGCGCGCGTCTCGTCGTCGCAGCGTCGCGCGGCCGCGCGCTGTGCTGCGCCGCGAGACGAGGCGCAGCGTCGCGCGGGCACGCGCGCGCTGGCTCTGGAACAACGCGCGCATTGCGGCCTGTTGCTCGTTGCCTGACGTGACGTCGCTGCGCTGCGCGCCCGCGCGGCGGCGCAGTGGCGTCGCGGCGGGCCAGTCGCAGAGTCGCGCGGCAGCCGCGGACCGTCGCGGCGCGCGCGGGCGCCCCGCAAACGCGCTGCA